CATGTCCCAGCCCTCCACCCCACACACCAGGCCTTGTTATCACATAGCCTGCCATTACACATATTGTTAGTTACTAACAGTCCCCATTAACAGCTATTCACCCTCCCTGCCTGATCGTTATCAACCTTTTGTCTGTCCAACTGCTCTTCTCTCTCTTTGGGCTCTATCCTTTATCCTATCATTGACTCCCTACCCCATACCCCTCCATATTTTCTGCATATAAACCAACGCTTTCCCAGCCACCATCAGTTCTGAGGAAGGATCACCGGACCTGAAACGTTAACTCTGTTTTCTCCTTCACAGATGCTGCCAGACCTGCTGAGCTTTTCCAGCAACTTCTGTTTTTGTTCCTGATTTACTGCATCCGCAGTTCTTTCGGTTTTTATTTAAGATTCTGAGAGGGGTTGACACTGTAGATGGGAAATTTCAAACTAGGGGACTTGGTTACAGAATAACGGAACATTGATTTTAAAACTGAGTTGTGAAGGAATTTCTTCTCCCAGAGGATAATGGAAGTCTGGAATTCTCCACCCCAGAGAGTTGTGAAGGTTAGATCACTGAAAATGTTTAAAGAGGAAGTTGATCGCTGTTTGAAAATTTGGGGGTTTGAGGGCTATGATGAGCTGGCATGGAAGGGGGAGAGGCCTGGGGCAGATCAGTCACAATCTTGTAGAATGGTGGAGCAGACTTGAGAGGCTGAATGGCCTCTTTCTGCTCTTGTTTCTTCTGTCCGAGTGACAGTGGCAGGAGAGCTCTGGAGGGTCCCTACCAGAAGCTATGCAGTGGGACAGAGAGAAAACCAGGACAAAATGACAGCGTGTAACAGGGGCAACATATTAAATATGTGCGACTTTAATCTTGCAGATTGGGATAAACCAAATTAGCAGGACAAACCATGAGGCAGTTTTCGTTGAATACATTCGGGACTGGTTCCGAGAACATTATATGGTGGATCCAACCAGGATCAGGCTGTTTTGGATCTGGTCATGTGTGTTGAGGCAGGTTTAATAAATGATGCGAGAATAAAGGATCCCCATGGAAACAATGACCGTAACATGGCCAAATTTAACATTCTAACTGAGAGGGAGGAAGATGGGTCAGAAACAACTGTGCTAAACTTAAATAAGTTTTATTACATTGGAATGAGGGCAGAGCTGGCTGGATTGGGAAAGGAATTTAACAACAAAGACTGTTGAGGAAAAATGACAGACAATTAAAAAAAAAATTTATGGACCCCAATGAAGAAATATCCCAGTGAGGAAAAAGGATTCTACGAAGGGAGTAAGGCAACCATGGTTAACCAGGGGAGTTAAAGCAAAGCTTAGTGGTAAACCAGAGGATTGGGAAAATACAGCCAAGAAAATAATAAAAAGGGACAAAGTAAACATTGATGCTAAACATTGATGAGTAGTGGAAAAATTGAGAAATTGAGGTGCTGGTGTAGGACTACGGTTGACAAAGTCAGAAATCACACAACACCAGATTACGGTCCAACAGATTTATTTGAAATCACAAGCTTTCAGCGCGCTGCTCCTTCATCAGGAAAGGCACTCCTTCACCTGACGAAGGAACAGTGCTCCGAAAGCTTCTGATTTAGAAAAAATTAAGTAAGAGCTCCTTTAAATGTAGAAAAATAAAGAGAGACACCAAAGTGAATATGGGCCCCTTAGAGAATGAGTCTGCTGGTATAATAATGGGGAACCAGGAAATGGCAGAGGGGATGAATAAATACTTTGCAGCAGTATTTGCAGTCAAACACATTAATTACATTCCAAAATTACTAACTAATTACTAAATGAGTTAAAAGGAGAAGGAATAAACACAATATTATCACTAGAAAAAAAAATGCCACAGAAAGTAACAGGAATAAAGATTGCATTGTCCCCTGGAGCTACTGGGATATATCCAAGGACATTAAAGGAAGTAGCCACTGAGATAGTGGAAACAATGGAAATAATCTTCCAGGAATCATTAGACTCAGGAAAATTCCCAGAGAATTGGAAAACTGCCAATTTAACACCTTTATTGAGAAAGAGAAGACAAAAACACAGGTAACCATAGGCCAGTTATATTAACGTGTTGTTGGAACTATTTAGAGTCCATTATAAAGGATGTAATAGCAGAGCAGTCACAAATATATAAAATGATGAAGCAGAGTCAGCACAGCTTCAGGAAAGGAAAGTAATTCCTTACAGATTGACTAGAATTCTTTATGAAAGTAACATGAGGAAAAGTAAAGGGAAGCAGTGGACATAATATATTTGGATTTTCAGAAAGTGTTTGATAAGATGCCACCCATGGGGCTGCTTAATCAGATAAGAGTGTTGGGGGTGGTATATTAGCCTCAATAGAGGATTGGCTAACCAATAGAAAACAGGGGCTTGGATGAAGGAGGCTTTTTCAGGATGGCATGGAGTGCCACAGGGATCAGTGCTGGGAACAGAAATATTTACAATCTATGTTAATGACTTGGATGAGGAAAATTAATGTACTGTAGCCAGGTTTGAAAGACCCAGAAATAGGTCAGAAGGCAAATAGTGAGGATTACACAAAGAGTCAGCAGAAAGGATGTAATGTAGCCTTTCAGTATAGTGCAGATCTGACTCCCACTTTAACCCAGTTCCCACTCCCAGACTAATTTAGCTGTCACACCCACTTGAATCCAGGTGCCACTCTGAGTCTAACCTAGGAGTTACCCTTTTTCCAGATCAAGCCAGACAGTTACATTGATGCCTGTTTATTTGCATTCTGTGTTCACCCTGGGAGTGAGGAGGAACGATCCCGAATGGTTTGTGAGACCTTCACCAGTTATTCCCGGGAATGTGGTGAACAGCACATCTTCATCAAGTGGAGGAGTCCTGACTTCTGTGGTAAGGAATATCTCTCACTCAGTAAACATTTTTATTCACTTGTGGGATATAAGCATCACTGCCTGGGCTCAGCATTTATTGCCTGTCCTTAATTGCCCCTTGAGAAAGTGGGAGTGAGTTGCCTTCTTGAACCGCTGCAGTCCATGTGTTGTACGTAGACCCACAATGCCATTACGGAGGGAATTCCAGGATTTTGAGCCAGTAAATGCCAAGAGGATGGCACTGATTGGCGATTGCAACAAGAGCTGTGATAGGACTGTGTGAACAGTGAGTGTGTGTGACCATGCAGTGTGAACCGAGATGACAGAGTGTGTGTCGACACAAACAGAGGAATTGTGGGCAATGTGTGTGAGTGTGAGTTTACAGAGTACCGGTGGGTGTGTTCACAACAGTTTCCTGGGTGTGGGTAGTGACCTCACTATAGAGTACCCTCCCACTGTAGGCAGTGTTGTTTTAGAGAGCGGACTTTTGTAGAGAGTTTGGTTTGTGTGAGGTCAGAGATTATCGGGTGAGATTCGGTGTCATGGTAGCTCAATGGTTAGTACTGCTGCCTCACAGGGCCAGGGACCTGAGTTTGATTCCACCCTCGGGTGACTGTGTGTGTGGAGTTTGCACATTCTCCCCATGTCTGTGTGGGTTTCCTCTGGGTGCATCCAGTTTCCTCCCACAGTCCAAAGATGTGCAGGTTAGGCGGATTGGCCATGCTAAGTTGCCTGTAGTGTTCAGGGATGTGTAGGTTAGGTGGGTTATAGGGGGATGGGTCTGGGTGGGATGCTCTGAGGGTCGGTGTGGACTTGTTGTTTCCACACGGTAGGGAGTCTATGATTCCATGATCTATTATGATGCCATGTTCTATTTGTATCAGGGAAGACTTGCAGCAATGGGATGATTTACTCGGACTGTGTCTCCACTTGTCCTGCTACCTGTGAGACTGTGGGCAGCCCCAGTGAAGGTTACTGTCGAGAGGAATGTGCCAGTGGCTGTGAATGCCCATTGGGTTATTACCTGGAGACAGGGCTGTGTGTCAAAGCAGAGGATTGTCCCTGTTACCATCATGGTCAGAAGTACCCTCCGGGACAGACCATTCGACAGAAATGTAATGACTGGTGAGTGAAATGTTTCTCTATCTATTCACTGATGAGGGTGTCGCTGGCCAGGCAGCAATAATTACCCAGAATCAACCACATTACTGTGGGTCTGGAGCTATGTGTAGGCCGAACCAGGTAAGGACATCAGCAAAAACCAAAGGCCTTTCTGAGAATTGACCTTATTTACATGTTCCCCCCTTTAGGGTCAGATTTTTTATTTCAGATTTTGATCATTGCTTGTTCACAGGGAAAATGCTGTCCCGTTCCTTCTAGGATCTGACAATGTGTGCTCACTCCCAGAGTTCATCATCTATTCCAGCACACAAACACCTCACATGACCATCAGTGTCAATGCTCCATCCACAGAAATCAAATCCCAGTCTTCCCCCTCACTCCCTGTGACCCATCCAACAAAATCCTCATCTCCCCCTCACTCCCTGTGACCCATCCAACTAAATC